CGAGCTAAAAACATAAAATTACTAGCTAAAAGTAGCAAAACACAAGTTAAAATTCACAAAACACGAGCTAAAAACATAAAATTACTAGCTAAAAGTAGCAAAACACAAGTTAAAATTCACAAAACACGAGCTAAAAACATAAAATTACTAGCTAAAAGTAGCAAAACACAAGTTAAAATTCACAAAACACGAGCTAAAAACATAAAATTACTAGCCAAAAGTAGCAAAACGCTAAATAATAGTTGAATGCTAGCTAAAGCAGCAAAATGCTAGTTGAAAGCAACAAAATCTAGCTAAAAGTAGCAAAACACTAGCTAAAAAATGCACAAAGCTAACTAAAAATAGCTAAGAAAGTCTAGTAAAAGTAGCAAAACACAAGCTAAAATTTACACAATATTCAAATTACTAGCCAAAAGAAGCAAAAAGCTAACTAAAAGTAGCCGATGGCTAGCTAAAGCAGTAAAAGTCCTGGCAAAAGTTTGTGTTGAAGTAGATTTTAAAAAGGATCTCAATGTAATTTTAGGGGGAAAATATTTAGATGTTACAAAAACCAGAAGTCACCACACCCACCTCCTGAAWGAGCTGAACATTGTAACATATGAAAGCCCACATTCTGCACAAAGTATGCAGAAATAATTTGATTATAAAAGTTATACAGAAAAGAAAAATAATACAACTATAGGCTGAGCATTTTTGAACAGATCATAATAAAATACACCAATGTTCCTTTGTAAAATCTGCCTGTGCAGGAAGCTGACGTTCAACTGGTTGCTGTTAATACAGATTAGAAAACTCTCTYTGCCTGATAATCCTCAGTTTTCTTCTCTCGTGGAGAAGGTGTGCGTGAGAACAGGTTAGCCAGTAGCAGGGTTACGCTGCAGGATTACAGTAAAAAGCAGCTTTAAGCCGATGTCGCCTCTTTATTAGAAAGCTGCTGATAAAACGTGGAAACACGTTCACATTACATGCAGGTTATTATTCTCTGCAGATGCTTCTGTTGAGTTGTCTCAGTTTGTTTCACTGCAGCACTCCTGTCTGTGCACTGTGATGAGAGAACAACCTGGTAAAACCTTCCAGGTTTAAACAACAGGGGGCGCAGCGAGCAGACATCAAACTGAAGACTTCTTTGGATCCTTGAAATCTAAAGTGATGGCTGCTTTCAGAACACAGCCAACGTGCTCCTCTTTCATTAAGAAACTTTGAAGAGCTGGGGAACTTTTCCAAGGCGTGACCTCCTTTTTGTCTCGATTACACCTCAAACGGTGCACAAAAATAAAGAAAAGGCAGTTTTCTAAATGTCTTATAGGAGCCAGAGTCTCTTATAAGTATATATTTAAATGACATTCAGCCTTGAATCAGTTTGTTTTTGAACCTTCGAAGAGGACGTCCTCACTCTGCTTTGCCTGAGTGGTCGAAAGAGAAACAGCTGAGCTAAAAATACTAAAAAAAAATCAGCGTACAATAACAGAGCCGTGAGTCATTTGACATCCAGGTACGCACTTTGAGGCAGCTTGTTTCGATTCCTCAGACTCACCACGCCCGCCGTGCTTTATTGTCCCTGAGTGTGTATACTGTTCACACCTCCAACAAAGAACACAGGTACATCTCTAGGGAGTCACCCTACACWGGACAAAAAAACATTATAATAGAGAGAAAGAAAAAGCTGCTCCTCCTCTTTGAGCACACAATGACCTRCTACATGTCCTCATCATGTCGTTCACATCTGATAGGAGACTGTTCGAGTTCAGGATTTAGCGTTCTCTAGGTACTGCAGGGCCTCCGTCAGAGCCAGTGTACTTGTGAATACACGCAGAGGGCATGACTTGTGCAAGAACAAGCTCGTGCATACTCCCCGGGTTGTTCCGTGAGATCACCTCTCACTGGGAGAAATGTATTCATCACACAATTAATCAGGATCAGGAGACAGTTTCTTTGGAAACACGAGGCCTGAGCACGATTTTCTGTTTTACTTTTACTGACTGTGGCCTGCAGCTGTTCTCCCACAATTCACTTTCTGTATGTTCCCTGTCACTCATTAACTCACGCAGGTATGCACGGCATCTACGAAGGTAGTTGTCCTCGCCGTGACACCTCCGACTGCGACGACGTTAAAGGGATAGTTCAGATTTTTTTAAGGTGGCGTTTGTTTTGAAAAGGCGTGAACAATTAATATCTTACCTGTTATAGATAGGGGTGGGAATCTTTTACTATCTCACAATTTGATTCAGTTCTGATTTTTTGGGACCAGAATTAGAAATAAATTTTTGATTCTGTTGGTGTACAAAGGATCCCCAGTTAGTCAGTAAAAAAAACAAAATGAGTCCAAATCTTTGTCTTCAACAAAGAYGGTGCCGGTATGTGAATCAACTGGTGCACCACTAGTAGATAGCTCTTTGTACAACTTCAGTTTGGAGGAACACTTTTTGTTACAACGCAGCCTTGTTTTCACATAGAAAARTTTTTTCAACTTCTTTTCAACTTTTTTTTGCGTAGATTGTGAAGAAGCATCCTTTTGAAATTGATGATGTCATAGCCCCGCCCCTAATCAAACCTACGCCATGATGGCATTCTCTCTTTCATGTTGGGGCTACAATAGGGGTGTCCCGATACCAATATTTTTCAAACCATGATGATGAGTCAGTTTGAGTACTCGCTGGTACCAAGTACAGATACTGAGTACTTACTGAGTTAGAACTTAAACATTACACAAGGACTTTAAAAATTCATTTATTTACATATTTTAACATTTTCTTTCGACTTGTATGATCTGAAACAAGGAACTGACAAACTTTCCACTTTTAATGTTAACTGTGGGTTGAAGTCATCTTAAAAAAGTRTTGTATAAAGTACCTCAAAGTGATACTTGAGTAAAAGTACAAGTATGTCATCATGAAATTACTTTGGTACACGTTAAAGTCTCCTTCAAGAATATTACTTGAGTAAAAGTCTTAAGTATCAGATGTTTTTGTACTTAATCAAAAGTAAATTTCTGACATGAAATGTACTTAAGTATTAAAAGTAAAAGTTATTGGTGTCAGAATGGTATTTATACTTGGTATGGTAATGRTATTTACACTTCTCATCCAACTACAATTAAATTCACTCTTTCGAGGAGGCACGATTTATCAGGATAGTATTTTTTTAAGTAAAGTACAGATAACCAAAATGTCTACTTAAGTACAGTMACAAAGTATTTGTGCTTTACTTTACAACTTTGCTTAAAAACAACAACAGTCACAAAAACTAATCCAGAAAAAAACATTTATATTCCTGCTACAACCGCTGCTGTAATCACATACAAATTAACTTTTCTGTTAGTAATGATTTATTGCCTCTCTGTCCAAACTGAGGTCGTTCAAAGAGTTATCTACAACAGGTAAAATATTAATTATTTACAACCTTTCCCCAGGTCCCTACTTCGAACGATTTGAACTGTTACCGTTGTACAATGTGTATATTGTGACGTGCGGATGCCGAATGACAAGTTTTTGTTACAAATATCGCCGTCCATTCAGGCCTGAGAGCTGCACCTCTTCATTTCTATGCATCCAGGCCGTCTATGTAACGCTAGACCTCTGGCACACAGGGCGGCCTACCTCTCTGTCCCTTTGTCTGTCCCGCATGTGAYGAGGACACAATGGAGCGGCGGACAATAGGCCACTTATTGAGTGACTGGCAGGGAGTGGGACACATCCCTGATCATCCGTCACYCTGCGGCCTCGTGCTCTCTGCAGGCTCAGCGGCGTCAGGTTGCACCCTGCTCTCACGGAGGAGGTCGAGGCACATGGAAATCTGGAAGGATTCACCCTAAAAAAAAAAAAAAGACAGAAATAAAACTTGTGTTTCATCTTGCATCATATCAGGCGGTATGCTTATGGTGAAAAGGCCTCTGTTTGCCTGACGTGTTAGCAAAATATCTCACAACTCATTGGCTACATTTGAATAAAAGTAATCACCAAATAACAGACATCTAGAAATATTTTTGTATAATATATAAGAATAAGCTGTTTGGCAGAGAAGATGTGGCAAAATTTTTATGTCTGCAACCCACATACTCATCACTCAAATGCATGTTCCTTACAAATGTGGCTCCATTTAAAAGGGAATTTAACAGGCTTTCCATAAAATTTATTGCCAAGAAGTATTGTTACAACAAAGAAATAATCTACCAAACACAATTTCCTTACATTTTTAAAAAAATAGATTGACAGTCTGGGACGAAAGGTGATATATGCATGTTTTCTTCAGCTGCTTGTGTTTTGTGTGAAAACAGCTGAGACTCCCATCAGCTGACTGGCACTCTAATAATAATAATAATAATAATCTCAGCATCAAAGGTATCCCCTCCAACGTGACACTGAACGCATCACTTGTAAGAAAAAAAGCCTAAACAAAAGAAAACACAGCTAAAGTCTTGAGTGTTCTAAATTCCCACGCTTTGGAGCTGTCAGTGAACTTCTCTTTGTCATATCCTTGCATGAGTAGCTCTCTGAGTGTTTCCGAACCTCTCCCTCCTTTACGTGTGTGTGTGTTTGTGTGTGTGTGTGTGTGTGTCGTGAAGGTGGGGCAGAGAAGGTATTAGCTGTACGCTGCAGACATCATTAGGAGGGGTGGTGGTGGGGGGAGACGCTCTCCACCGTCAGCAGCGCAACACCGGAGCCGAGCGGAGCGGAGCAGAGCCGGGGAGCCCTGGCAACAAGGAGACACACACAACTCAGCAGCCCGCGTCACCCCTCACAGTAAGTCGCACTAAACTACTCCCTAACCAGCCTGTCACTGCTTCCACCTCTCTTTTTCCTTGTTTTAATCGGAGCTGTGCACGTAAAAAAAAAAATGGCTGGAAGAACTGAACTGGGTGGCGCTGAAGCCCTGGTTGACTTCAAAGCCTCTCGGGGGGAAATGTTTACTTCGCCGCTCTGACCTATTTTACTTTGAAGTGGATTAAAAAGTGACCAGCTCACGAGAGGGGGGCGTCCAGGTGGGCTATGCTTGTCATGTCGGCGGATGCTGAGTCGCGTTGAGGCGGCGGAGGAGGAGAGGAGAGGAGAAGGGGAGAGAAGAGAGCGGAGCCTCGGCTGGAATCTGACCGAGCGAGGAGCGCGCCCCGCCGGCCGAGCTRGCGTCGCGGGGCCGCCGCTGCGCTTTCCCATTAAAAACTGCGCCACCGCAAAAACCAGCCCAAACCCGGCGCGTGCTGTCGCGTATATCCCCATTAAAACTCTTGTCTTGTTGACAACCACTGTCAAAGGCAGGTTTTTATGAATTTTATCTACGTTTCACCATCGCGGAAGTGTTTTTCCCTCAGCACGGAAAATAAACGAAAAACTATCAAACTCAAGTTTTCATTATAGGGATATGTTTGCTTTACCTTTATTTTAATAGYTAGAGTTGCTTATTGAATTACTCCACAATGTTTTTATTTCTTGCTTTGTTTCTTTTTTGATGTTACCAGCTGGTTGTAGAGGACATACAGTATGATTGCAGGACTACCCGTGATGTCATTCATCCCAGCTTGGACCATTATATAACGGGACTGTAGGGAAGCCTGTGATAGCTGAGGCTATTTTTACTCTGTTTACACCTCGGATCAGGGCAGGATATGCGTCCCAACTGGTAGCCTATAGGCTTTTTCACACTCATAATGCATTTTAATAAAAGGAGGAGRTGRATAAAAGTAACTGCTGAGGCTCTCCTCAAATAATGCTCCCATCTTCTGTGCTAGATGCTCCTGCAGAGCTTTTGCTGCACAATAATAGGTGTTATTGCAGCCATGACACCTTCTAATAATTACCTAATACATTGTCAACATCACGCATTTATGGTGTTTCTTTACAATCATTTAATTGAAGGTTGAAACCAGAGGGATCAAACTCATTTATACAAGGAGGCCAAAATTCAACGTGGTCCAAGTCAAGGGTCAATTTCTGTTAGTTTGTATTAGAGAAATATTCTGTAACAAATTATTTCTATAGAAATACAAATGACTTTTCCAAATCCTGTTTTATGTAGTGTTTAAACATGCATAACCTAAAACAGTGTTTCCCAAAGTTGGGGTCGGGACCCAAAGTGGGGTCCCGAAACATCAAGGTGG